TATATATATATATATATATATATATATATATATATATATATATATATATATATATATATATATATATATATATAATTTTTTTTTTTTTTAAAAGAGTTGTTGAGAGATAAAATAAATGAAATGGGCGACATAAGTCAGCATTGGAAGTCCCATGTCGCGTGGTCCTTGAATGAGCCAAGTCTAAGCCACCGATGGGGGCGACTCCACCTAATTAGCTTGCCTCATTAAATTCCCTGGCATGATTGAACTTGGGTCATGTATCAATGCGACTAGACGTGATTCATTAAAAATTTGGATCGAGTTAGTTACATTTTTAAAATATCGAAAGTCCAGTTCAATTTACGTGTTGATATTTTTTTAGTCGGATCAATTGAACTACTAACCCGAAAATAGAGTTACAATCCAACCCTACTTTTTAAAAAAAAAATTAAGAATATTTAATGTTTGTAACAGATGTTAGTAATGTATTGTGACCTGTAAATATTTGACATTTGAACTTTATGAGATTTTATTTATTAATATAACATAATAAATAAGGTTAGATTTGGCTGGATTGATTGCTCGAGTCACGATTTTATGGCTAAAACACATGAAAACAAATCTTGTGTTTCATTTCAAAACATATGGCTACTCGAAACACGGAGGAGACATACTTCCGACCATAATTGACGAACATTAAATGAAGTTACAGAGAGACCTATATCTGTGACGGACAACGGTTTTATGTCTCTGACGGTCATTCAACTTAAAAATTAAATATTTTATCTTTAATTTTTCAACTTCAAGACGAGTAAATTCTTCATATATTCGTTTTTTGTTAAAAGAAAATTAATGGAATTTTTAATTTTGTATTTTATAGATTTACGAGGTTTTTGATAATACATCAAATAAATTAGTGACCTATTCATCACAAAATCGAAAAATTCAATGATCTATTAGATACAGACTGAAACTTTCAAATACTAAATTTATAATTTAAAATTTTGGTTCGTAGATTTTGTGTAATACCTTCTTAGGAGCCGAACTTGACTCTGATACCACTTCTCCCTATTCGATAATTATATGCTGTAAGTCGTTGTTGTTGCCTTTCTGCTTGCATCACATATAACACCAATTTCAATCTCTCAAATCTTGCTTTTAAAATTCTCTTTCGAAATCTCTCTGTCCTCGTTTTCTAAAACTTTGTTCTTGAACCGGGGCCAGAGGCTCGAGCATACGTCGCTTAGCCGTCGGTGACGCAAGAATGAATTGGATTAACTCACTCTCGGAATACACGATCATTTTTTAAAAAATTATGAAGAAAAAAATAATAATAATTTAATTTTGGGAATGGTTGAATCTTTTAACAACATCTCTCATAAAGTTATGAACACACTTGAAATTCAAGAAAGTTTTTCCATCATTCACATTCATGAACATCCCCATTTTCTTCAAATTCAAGCAACACTCTCTTTTTCAATAACAAATAATCTTTTACTATTATTGTTGCTATTATAACAAAACAAATAAATCGTAAAACATTTCTGAACGGATCTAAACACGCGAGGATCCAATTCGAGAGGATTGGAAGAACATAGATATAGTCCAATCCCATCGCTAGCAGATATTGTCAACTTTCACCCGTTACGTATTGTCGTAAGCCTGACGATTTTAAAACGCGTCTACTAAGAAGAGGCTTCCACACCCTTATGAGAAATGCTTCGTTCCCCTCTCCAACCGATGTGGGATCTCACAATCTACCGTCTTGGGGCCAGCGTTCTCGCTGGCACACCACGGTGTCTGAAGATCCCATATTGGTTGAAGTGGGGAACGAAGCATTTCTTATAAGGGTGTGGAAGTCTCTTCCTAGTAGACGCGTTTTAAAATCGTATGGCTGACGACCATACGTAAAAGGTGAAAACTGACAATATCTGGTAGTGGTGGGCTTGGGGTTCGCATCGTGTAACAGATATCTCATACCTGGATAGATATTAGCGTTGTAAATACGTGCAATCAAACGTGGTTCGAGCTGAAATCACGAGAAATTATTAAATAAAAAAGAATAAAAAAAGTATAATAAAACCCCACACACACAAACAAACACAGCTCATATCACATCTGGCTATGCCATGTGAATGAAAGCTCCAACTCCTCTATCTCAGTTCAACATATCATGTGCCATTCAATTTCTTCAATTAATAATAT